GAGCCCACTAAAGGTAAGTAGGAAACATAAAGATGAACTATCGCTTTTTATCAGGATACAAAACTTTATTCTTGTCAAAACATCAGTAGGATGTTTAAAACTAAAACTTTAACATGTAGGTGAAAATGTTCCTATCGTTTCTTCTATAAAATAGTAGATTTGTATGATCTGATACCCATTGTAATCCATTTTACTGATTTTGTATTTTAAAGCATCTTCTAATGTTATGAAAATTGTTAAATTTTTGTACAAAATGGTAATAATGTAAAACGTATTGCTGTTTGCTAGTAGAAGGCTAGTTAAAAACGTATTTAAAAAAATCATTCGAGCTGTAGTTATTAATGAAATGACTCTAATTAAAATAATAGCTAATTTATCATATAAGACTGTTTACATTCAACTCAACAAAAACCTTCATAAACACTTTTTTCCATTCTTAGAATAATAAATTATTTAGTTTCTCTATGACCCCTTAAGTGATTTCATAAATGAAATAATAATTTATTATTCCTTTTTAAATAATTCATTGCTATAGGAAAAAGTAAGATAAAAAATATAGAATTCAAATAGGGAGAACGCGGTATCATGAGCGGGGTCTATTGCCTACTGGTATTGCGAGAAATGGTTTGAAGAATTGGACAGTTACCGCTATACTCAGCACCGTAACCAGTTTTTAAAAATAAAATCTGTATTAGTGGGTTGTGTTTTTGCGAATAATATATTTTTTGTATTTGTTTTTGCGTTTTTCTTTAAAATAAAAACGTGACCTCGGGAATATAAATATTAAAGCACTCGTTAAAGAAATCACTTGGTAAATATGAATATTCATTAATGGTTGGTAATATCAAAGGCAAGGTAAAAAGCGGTGAGAAAAGTTTTATTTTTATTATAGACAGTATTGTAATTAATAAATTTAATCATGTTTGTTTGTAAATTCCATATAATGTTATCCCGGAAACTTTTATCTAGGAATTCAGCAAGGTCTTGCTCAAGCATATGTTGCATTTTCATACGGTCTTGAAATAATTAGTTGATAGCTAAATGAACTATTGCAAATAACAAAAATGGCAATGACAAATCCTAGATCAACAAATCTATTTGTTATGTGGTTGACAGTTTTATCCTTCATATGTGCTTCAGTTAATTTCAGTTTAAAGAGTTGTTTATTAAGTTGACAGTGATCAGTATACAGTTCTGTCGCGCCCCTTAAATTTCTCCGTTCCATGTATAGAAGTATTGTATTTATCTTTGAACAGCAGAATTCTTCCGGGAATAATTTATAATAAGTTTCCTAATATTCGCCCAATGGATCTCAGTCTTAATTCATAGAGCTACCTTAGTATTTCTTCGGCATAGCTGAGGATTATACAACAGTGAGTTCTGATGCTAAAGGCTATTCTGATTCCTTTATATTTTATGTTACTGATACAAGCAGCATTTGGGAGAGGAAGGGAGAGAATTAGTAGAGTTGGCGATAGTTCTATATCCCAACTATCTATAGTTTTGATTACATCGACTAGCAGCTTTTGATACTTGAGGTTCGACAGTTGGTGGCGGAGTGGCCAAGTGGGCACAAGCCCACAGCACCGGCGTTACCAGGCAACCTGGTTGAAGATATAATTTATATCGGTTATATAATAACCGAGGGGATTTTAACTCTGGCATTAATCTCCCACCTTTCCCTTCTGGGCCGGGAAAACCCCCGTATAGTCTAAAAGGCGAGGGAGGGGAGGACCAAAAAAAAAAAAAAAAAAAAAAAAGAGATTCGATAAGTTATTAACTTACTATATAGACCAAAGATGTCTTCTACCCTTTTCTTGGGAAATAGAGGACAAATGTCCTACATTAACTAACAACATTAGCTTTCTCCATGCAGGGAATAATAAAAAAAGTATTTTTCATGAGTGACAGATAAACAGGACTTGCTCAATTGTTGGCGTTTATTGCCACTTTTATTACTAGGTATTAAAAATAATCCTAGATTTGACTGAGTACTGAACACCTATATGATAATAAGCCGAAAATTCCACCCCAATAACAGGATCTGCCTAGAATGGAAATCATTCTCGAGAATAGAAAAATACTTTGGCTCCACAATAACGTCAATGAATGACCAACGGGCAGAAATAGACCAGCGTGTAACTAGCACAAACAGAGCTTTCTTCTCCCTCTCAAAGGTACTGAAATCCCGAAAAATCTCAAGAAATCTCAAACTATGGGTGTACAATGCTATGATAAAGCCAGTTCTAAAATTCTCTGAGACCTGGACACTAACCAACACTCTAGAAAAAAGTGTTGAAAGGTTTAAGAGGAATAGATAACCGGAGCGATCTGGGATCAGAGGACTAACACATGGAGAAGAAAGACCAATAAAGAACGGCTTACAGAAACTGGTAAATCAATATCCCATGATATGAAAGCACGGAAGTTAAAATGGGCGGGGCATGTAGCTCTTTGCAATCCGTCTAGAAGCCTCTACATAACAATGAATGCTTCAGAAGCCTAAATACCACATGGAAGGGCAAAAAGCAGCTGAATAGTTGGAATCGACAAAGGTGCAATAGAGCTGCGTCCAGATAAATGGAAATAAATAGCTCAGGATAGGCAGAGATGGATCAGGCTTGTCAAGGCGGCAAAAGATGTAAATCCTCTGTAACACCAACAGAAAAATAAAAAAAAATGATCACCTATCACCCATGTTAATTCGATCAACTTCCGTCAAAATTCAATTTTCAAATTGTCATTTTTACTGAGTTGAACATAATAATACCTTTCAAAACGATTTATTTAATCTTGAAGAGTAATTTCACTAATGGATAATAAAAAACAACGACCTAATTCGAACAGGCGTTACAATCAATGTTGAGACTTTTGGAAATATAGGTTCTCACTGACAATGATTGGTGGTAAATGGAACTTATTCACTTCTATAAAAACAAAATAAATCTTATAACTTCTGAACGTCAGGAACTCTTCTTTCGAGACCCTGAAATGTGACGGATTGGAATAAAAAATGAGACACTTCGTTCTTATCACTAATGCCGAAAATACATTTACGTTATATAAATATCTTTCAAAAACTTTCATCAAACGTTCTTTCGATGCAGAGCCAACAAAAAAAATAAAGTGGTAAACAGCATTCGAATATTTGGAATAAGATAAAAGATACCTTTTATATTAACATTTACTGATAATAGCTGAACTATTACTACTGTTTTTTTCCGAGCTGAAACAGTCCCCACGTTAAATATACACACACGGCACACTGCGGTGCAAAATACCATAGCGGTGCCCAGAAGGTGGTTTTATACAATGCAAGTTGCGCCATCAAAATTAATGAGGGGAGGGACAAGTGGAATCATTAATCAAAAGACAAGTGGAATCATGGGACAGACCACAGGATGTGTAATGGTATTTAATGAACGAATATTCAAATTCTCCTTTCGTTTGCACTGTTTTTAAGAAGAAGAGCCATAAAATATCTTGGGAGGGGTGGGGAGAGGTTTATGCGCCTTTGAAGGACGGAACCCTTGAAACACCATATTTTCGGAGGGAAAAAATATCAGTACGAATAAAATAAATAAATATAATACGAATTCAGATGCCCAATGGTTGTAGTAGTAACATTATATTTGGGGAAAATTCTGAGGACTTATGAATGCTCTAATGAACGACAGAAAAAAAAAAGAAATGAAAACTGCAGTTTCAAGTTTTAATTTACGCTAGGGGCAAATCTGATCTGTATTTTCATGAAAACCATTTACTTATCCTATTTAACTGTTAGCATCTATTCATTTTTATAATCTCTTTTACATTGATATGCATTTAATATAATCAGCAATATTTGTGCACTACACTGCAGTTGTGAATCGTGAACCTCTACCAGTTATTTTTTGTTATTCGAAAGCAATATTCTAGATACTTATGTGTTTGTAATATTAGAATTCCGTATCGTACTATGACTTTTTGCGATGCTCACAACAAAAAATTGTAGGAGGGCTGTTATTCCAATCAGTTATTTTATAATGGAGTGAGACATCGAGCTGAAACGATTATGAGATGAAACCACTATTGTACCTTTAGATTTTTGTACTCCATAAGTTGTAAAGTTTGGAATTCAAACTTATGGACTTTAAACCGGAAGTATTGAGACCTAATTGTTTTTGAAGTAATGGAAAAGAATGAATAGTTCTTTAAATTGTAACTAAATTTGAGATTCATGAATATATATTATTTTTATTACTTACGTTGCTTAGTTGTTTTATATTTTTATGTACATAGGTTCTTTAATCGGATTAACGGTTCATATTTATCTTAAAGTTTCTAGCCTTAGATTGGTCTATATAATCTGGTGTCTGGACCTCCATACAACAGCTCTGGTTTCTGTTCCCCTTTCTGTACTGATCTCTCAGGTTTCACTTTTAATACCCCCAAAGAGTTACCTGTGAATTGAATGTCCCTGTCTTTCGAAGTTTCTAGCATATCCGAAACCTCACTCCGTGACTTCACAATTTATATACGACAGTTTTAAAATAAACATTTTGACACAAAAACATTAACTTTCCAATTGGATATACCTCAATTGAACTCAGAATTTTTAAAACAATAACCTTTACAAGGCCATATGGTCTGCAGTACAATACCTTCTAGACTTAGTTGCGAACTTAGTTTTTATATTATTAATTAATTTAAACACGTTCTACTTTTTCATAAAATAAATTGTATAAAATAAATCAATCAGTAGTTGAGTTTCTATAATTGTCCTGCCACCGCAGTCAAGGTTCTTTTCGATATGGGAAATGAAAGTTTAACTATACTGATGTATCAAGTTAAATCTGAACTTGCTGGGGCCATAAACGTCAATAAAAAAATACTTCTAATTTGTTGCAGTGACTAGGCCACCAGAAAAAAAAATTGGTAAATATTAAAAAAAAATAATAAATCAAAATAAACAAATGTTATTAAAAACATACATCATAATGATGAAGATCGATGAGTGCATATTTTCTTGTTCTACTTTTTTCTTTTATTTAATTTAACTTTTTTAAGCTACATCTGATTTTAATGAGTTCAAATTGAAAGTATTCAGACGAACAATGCTCTGTGTATTTTGTGCTGTTGTATTTTTTAAAAGTTATTGTTAAGAGCGTAGATAATAGAATTAACAGAATAGACTCAATGCCATATTCTACGGCCAAAAGGAAGATGAAGTTCAGTGGTACCGATAGTTGTTGCTGGCGGCGGTAGAGCTCAGCACCACAGTAGATTACGAAGACTGATTAAAGGGTACTCTCCTTGGCTAGTTTTTCGAACTGCCGCATTCGCGGATCTCCCACCTTTTCGCCGTAACTCCTTGTGGTGCACCTTTTGCCATCCCATAAGTCGGTCTATATTTTAGAATTTAAATGGCTCTTTTTAGAGTTTCTACCACCAAACTACCAGAAGCTAGTCAGGTAACATTATATTGAATATTTTTCTTATCATTATTTAATTAGGTGTGCATTTTTCTATTCCCGGCTCTAATCGATAAAGTATAACCTCTACACTGGGTTATTTATTATTATTATTATTATTTTTATAAGTATCCTTATTTATATATTTTGTTTCTTAAGTTAACTGAAGCGTCGGTTGTTTTTTATAAATCCATAATTCGTTTATTTTAAAGTTAAGTTATTTTTTTTTGGTTTTCTTTTATATATTCGTAGAAAACAATAACTATTTTATTAATGCTACTCAGTTTCGATGATTTTCAAATTTTAGAATACTTAATTAGCGAAAATTATTTTTTTTTATGAGAGCTGATTGTCATAATTTCCTTTCTCCTAGAAGACAATTTGTCAGTTAAAAGATTTCCTACTCATTTTTCTGATATTAGCAAAATAAATTTTGTATAGAACATCTACTTGGTTTCTTAAATACCTGACCACTTCAGGGCTTACTGGGCTGTTGGAACACAAATTAACTTTTTTAGTTTCAGTGTTTTCCATGTATAAATGATTCAAATACCTCAAATATATAGGTATACATCAAAGTTGGTCTAGTTGTTGCTGGCAGCAGACACTCAAAGAGATATTCTGAAATTTAAAATGTTATGTTCTTTACAGTATATGCAACTAATGCAATTAGTAACCATTGTATCTGTTTAATTTTTGGAGGTTGATTTTTCAAAACTTTCATTCCCCTTTTAAAATTGCATTTTTGAAATAATTAACATCTGAATCCTGTTTCTGTATTGGTTGTTTCCTGATTGATTTATCGTATATGCAGACTATAATTAACTCATTTTGGATTTAAATTATGACCACCTATTCATTTATTGTTGCAATTTTTTGTTTCGTTTATATATTCCTAAGTTTCATTATGTTCTAGATTTAATCAATTTTCTTTATATGGTATTTGATTGAAGTTGATTTTCCTTTAATAAATGATTTTTTGTATACACTTTAACTATATATCTTTAAAACGAGTTAATATGTTTACAATAATCCTTTATTATAATAACCTTTCTTATTTCTATCCATTCAGACTTCAGATTTATATGAATGGAACTTTTATACTTAGTGACCAAAGTTGAAAAAAAAATACGTGCCAAGGTCTGAACTATTTGTGCTCAGTTGGCTATTTTTGTTCTCTTCTTGATTTGTATCCAAAGACATTTCGATCATTAAACTTTATTTAGCTTATTATTATTGAATTGGTTTTACAATTAATTATCTTCTTTGCCATGTGATTGTTTTAAAGGACTTAAAATTTATGTAATAGATTAATTGATTTATATATATTACAGTTTTAGAATTGTTTTCTTCTTATAAGCTGTTTATAGCTTATAAGCTGCTAAGTTGGTTCTTAGTTGCTTTAAATTTTAAATAAACCAAAAAAGTAATATAGATTCAAATTATAGTGTTAGACAAAGTTATTAAATGATATTTTGTCTTACTTTGAACTTTGGAATGCATCTAATGACTAATAAAAAAAAAATTATGATAAATTTAAAACTATTGACCCCCTGGTTATTTATATATCTTTGGGTCATGGTAAGAAAAGCTTATCTAGTTATCTTATTCCTTTTAATCACAAATAATTCTTTCTTACCTTTGGGGATTAACAATTACACTTCAAACACTTGAGTTTATATCAAAAGATAAAATCTTGGAAATTGAAAATTAGCTTTTGTTATTGTTAATGAAATATTTTCAATTTGATGATAAATAGAAATGATGAAATCGATAATAAATAGAAAATGATTATGTGCAGAAAAAAATGAGTGAAATAAATGTTGGACTTGATTTAGTATTAGGAGTACGAAAATTCAGTAACATTTTTTTTTTTTTATGTTACATAGTTTTAATATTAATCGGGAAGTTTTCTTTCTGTTCTGAGCTTAAGTTTGATACTAGAAAACATTTCCTTCATTAATAGCAAGGCATGTACCATTAAAATTGTAAATATCTTTGTAATGCCTTTCTTAATATTATGCACTAAATATGACTAAAAAAAAAAATAATAATAAAAAAAAATAAAAAACTAAAACTAATCAACTGGCCATTCCTTAATTAACTCAAATTATCAAATGTGTATTATATAAATGAAATGATACATACAGTTTTCTAACTTTATTCTTAATTTATTTTAAAATATGAGAGCTTTTCTATAAAATGTATAACTATTATGTAATTTGAATTGACCTTTTCCTTCTTGCTCTCAGGTCATTCCTTGTTCTTTAAAATGAAACAATTTTTTTAAAATGAAAACTCAGATTAATTTTATTGATTAAAATAAAAAAAAAAATAATTTGTAATTTCATAACAGACATAATATTGTTTTTTTACCTGTAAATTTTTTTTTTGTATATAATTATTTTTGTGCATATTTTTTTTAATATAAAGCTTATATTGTTTTTTTTTTGTTTTTGCGTAGAACTTATGAAAATTAATTATCCTCCAATTCTAATAAGACTGCTGCTTTACTTTTAATCTTTTGCACTCTAGGAAATCTTTAGTTTTGCCTCTCTTTAATCTTATTTAATATACATTTCTGTATGTATTTAAGACAAGACTTTTTTAAGTTGTCTGTTTTATAGTTTTTGTTCATGTACAAGTTTTAAAATTAATGATAAGGTTTTTAGCTAAGGATCATTATGATAGGATGAACCAAACCATAGTATAAACCTGATTATTAAAAAAATGTTCTTCAGTTTGATTCATTGTTGAATTTGATTAGGATCTTCTTCAACTATTTCTAATTTTAATAAATTGTATTTACATGACCCTTTTCGTTTGAAGTGTTCTTTCATACCTTGATGGATTTTTTGCCCATGGACGTCCTCCTAATTCAACACTGTTCGTAAACCATGGGCTTTTTAAAATGCTGAATACAGTGGGGATCGTTTAAACCCTTTGTAGCTTAAAACATTTTTTTTTTTTCATTTTCTACCTCACATTAATAAAAAAGATGTTAAGACTTGGTACTAATACTATTGAGTGCTGATAATACTGTTTACCTTCTATTTTTTGACTAAGTAAATCTTTTTTTTTCATTTTAGATTATGAGCTGTTTTACAAAAATATTTTTTTTTACATGTTCTAACTTTGTAATTCGAATATGCTGTATTTTCAAAATCATGTTGTGGTTAATAAATAAGGCATAGATGTAAAAAAAGAAAGATAAACATAAATTTATCCAAAAGTTTGATTATAAAAATGAAACAATATTTTTTTCTTTTGTCTTCACACCCATTTTTCAATTATCATATCGGAAATTGTTATCTTTTGCATCATCAATAAGTGTTCTCTCACCATAGTACTTGATCTTGACGGCTTGAGTGTTTCAAAGTTTTCCTTTTCATCGCCCTGAACTGAGAAATATTGAATGCAATTTTAATGATTTCAAATAAATAATTGTGAGAAATATATTATTTTTATGTAAGAAAGATGTTTAAAATTTATTATGGAGTATTTTTAAAAATAAATAAATAAACATAAATTAATAAACCAAAAGTCATGTGATACCAGTGGATCCTGAAAGGATCTCAGCCACATTCTGAGAAACAAAAATTTGTATATTTACAAAAGGTCTCTCAATATTTTTGATTCTGTTTTTCCAGATTCAATATTCAAGATAAAATTCATTGAAGGTGATTGATGTCAAATGATTTCAAATATTTTGAAAATTAGAAATGTGTGAGGGCTCTTTAAAGTAGAATTAATGGAGCATAGTTGACTACTGCAGTCGGTTTTTTTAGCGTATCTATTTTTTTATATATTGAATATGAAGGTTTTATATTCAAAAAATACTTTTTAGGCATTGTGAATTAATAAATATTTTAAAAAATAAGTAAAAAACATTGATAGATGTGTTAATAAGGAGATATTTGTTTTTATGTTTATGCCAAAGTAAAAATAAAAATAATCTTTTACCAACTATGTATCATATAAATTATCTACTTATGTTCTTATCGTATCTTTAATTATTTGTTTTTTATTGTAAGGAGCATTGTTAATCAATGAGGCATTTAGAATTGATTTAGTTCTCAAGAACTGTTTCTAGATCAACGGTTGTGCAAGGAGAAAAAAAAAAATATGTAGCACTTGAAATAACTGGTTTTATGCTGGATGGCTGTATTGAAAGTTTATTTTATATTGTATATGAAAATAAAGTGTTTCTCCCTCTGTAGCTAGTTTTTCTTTTTTTAAATTATTGATTGATTTAAAAAGGTGTTTTAATTTAAACTAATATCATTTAGTATGTAAATTTATTTGCTCGCTTTTTAAATGTGTTTTTAAAATTTCATTTTGCTATTAAAAAAAAGAATATTAATAATGGGAACAATAAGAACAATAATACATGGTTGTATTAAGTATTTGTCATAAACAATTCAAGTTGCTAGTCATCAAATCCTTCTACAGCAAATATTAAATTATTTATTTTTTGTAACTTGTATATTTAGGTTTTGAAACTTGTCTATCTTTTTTTCAAATGATTGATTAGTTCACAGAGCAGTTCATTATACCAATATCGTTAAGTATGTAAATTCATTTGTTTCACATGAATTAATTAATGAATGATTGTACAAGTAAAATGCCAATAGATTATAGCTTTACTCAACTCATACTAATATTACAATTTATTTATCTAGTAAAATATCACTAATTTTTCTAGTCTCATGACCTTGAGTTTGTTTAATATTCATTCAGACAGCAGTTACATAAGTTTAAATGATAAATATGTTTAAACAATGCCAGTGTTGCCGTACCTAGTTTTGAGAAACTATATGACATTCCATTTTATCAAAAAATAAAATATTGTGGTTTTTTGTATTTTGGCGTTCATGGGAGCTTAAACTTTAATCTTTAATCTATTTGAAATTATTATTTTTTAATTAATCAGTTGTGGAAGTGTTAAAAGGGTTACTTTGATGTTTTATTTCAGATAAATATTCTCTGGAAGATAGAAATAAAATTATAGTTCAATTCTGTTGTTAAATCTCCTTGTAAAAAGAATTAATTAGCCTCAATCCATCCATCCTCTTATTTATTAATGTTCAGCGATCATTTTTGATTTCTTGTTTCCATTGTTCACCCTATTTACTTATGAAGTTTTTGTTTAAAACTCATTTCGTCCTAAAAAATGTCTCTTGTTGAACTACCTTTAATTTAATTTACTCAGCATATTTTGCAGGTCTTATTTATTGAAACCCCTTTAATTTTGGATGATTTTACAGATAGGGCAAAGCTATGGCTTTCCTTTCATCTTAATAATTATTGACTGTTAATATTTATTTAGGGAGTGGGGTAGCTCAGTGGTAGGGTACTGAACTTCCAATGCTAAAGGTCCCAGGTTCGAACCCCGGCTCATGGCAGAAAATTTATTTATCTGTTTCATTGGCCGTGGGGTGACCCTGGGTGGAGAGACACTCCTGAGGCACTCCCAGTTTCTATAAAGTGGGTACCTTTAATTAAATAATTGATTAAGGGGGAAACCTGGCGGTTGAACATGATCTCGGTCAAATCACCTCCTTGCGCAACCATTGACCTAGAAACAGTGCTTTCCCTAAACAGTACAGAACCCAAGACCCTTCATGGGTTGTAGTGGTACACGTTTTTTAAAAATATTTGTCTAAAAATGCTATAAATGAAAATTGTACTCCGAATAACTTACAAGTTATAATTACTTATTTGAAAGCTTATCAATTTTTCTTCAAAGAGAAATTATCAAAATGGTCAATCTGTTTTAGATCTGATGGGTCTAAAACAGAGACAAAGGAAAGAGAAGGCACCTTATTCAGCAGAAGAATTATCACTATTTTCCGTGTTGTAGGAAAAACAGAGTTTTGAATGGGAAAATGATATATGTGGAGGAAGATAGGTAGTAAGGCATAAAGACGAGAACTTTATCATTTTTACCACAATTTGGGCTTGAATATTGTCATTTCTTATGAAAGCAATCAAGTCATCAATAATAATGGGAAAGAAATAAAGGCAATGTGAAAAATGAAATTTAGGTCATCAGGTGAAACTAAATAATAACTATAGGATGTGGAGCTAGTAACAAATACTTGGCGATGGGATGGCTGAGGGGGCTAACGTGTGCACCCAGCAACCTGATAACCGAAGTTAGAGAAAGAAAAATAATTATGAGTTCAAATCCCTGAACCCGGTGGGACTTTTAAATCAGCATTATACCCCCTATCCTCTGGCCCAGGGAAAAACCCCATTTTTGCCTATAAGCAAGGAAGGAGAGACATTTTCTGCTTAGATTTAGGGTATTATATCAAAGTTTTATGTACATGTTTCCATAGAATCAGGTTTAATTTATATATTCTGAATTTTAGAATGTTATATTAAGTTTTCAAATCTGTGAATACTAAAGCACTAAACTCTATTTTAACACATTTAAAATTATAATACAGCAATAATTAAATATTCTTAAGAAAATAAAATGTATAACTGAAGTTCTATGCATTTTAGTTATCCTTATCAGTCCATTATTTTTTTGTGATTAGAGGTTACAAACAAAAACAGGTTTTCATTTTATGTAATTATCTATGTATAGATTGATTTATTGGGACACCTTATAACACAATTTATTCCTATTTATTTACTTTTAGGTGCTCCAGAATGTCACAAACACTGTTTTACGAGGCATCGCATCCGACTCAACAGATTTAAAAGGAATTCTTGCCAGCAGAATTCCTAAAGAAGTCGAAAAAGTAAAAAATTTTAGGAAAAAACATGGTTCGACTAAAGTTGGCGAAGTAACAGTTGATATGGTTTGTAATTTAATTAGTCTTCAATTCACCAATACTTCTCACAAACTATTTTTAATTGACAGTATATTGACTTTCCTGACATGTTTTGTATTTTTAATTTTTAGATGTATGGAGGTATGCGAGGCATTAAAGGTCTGGTCTGCGAAACATCTTCGCTTGATCCCAACGAAGGTATTACATTTCGAGGCCATTCTATTCCAGAGTGCCAAAAAGTTCTTCCTAAGAGTCCGAATGGTGGGAAAGAGCCACAACCCGAAGGTCTGTTTTGGCTTCTCGTAACGGGTGAAATTCCTAATAGAGCCCAGGTCAGTTTTGGTTTTTAATTTTTATAAGTATAGTACCTAAATATAATTATTTTCATTTATACTTCTCGAAAACTTGACCAAAAGCTTTACCAAAAAAATCAGGACTTTACTGAAGATAATCTAATTAATCTTTCTAAACAGATCTCACAATAACGTTAAGAATAGATGAAAATGATCTCGGAACTACAATAACCTCAATGCTTCTTCTTTACTCTTGAAAGGGTCTAAGAATCGTGGTTTGGTTCAATTTAACTTAAGTAATTATTATTAGCTTCATAGTGAATAAGACAAAATTTTCTTTACATACATTTATGCAATTTTTCTTTTTAAATTTATTTTAGAGAGTTTTTAAACAGCTTAACTACACTGAGTCTGATTTTCACAGAATAATGGATTATTGGATTTTTTTTGTCACATAATGTCACAGGATTAGTTGAGAAATATTGCCAGTTTTGTAAAAAATGTGTGTAATGTGAACTAGTGTCTCCTCAAAGTACCTGTGTTTTCATCAAAAATCATTACAAATCTTTTATTTATTGTTTATTTTTTATGTCAGATGCTTTTTGTTAAATTAAAAATTAAGATATATTTTATTTATAAGAAAAATATTTTTGTTTTTATGAAAATAATTCATTCAATTAGTGGGTTTCATTTTTTTGGAAATGTTAATTGATAATAATAAATAAATAGCATGTCACACTGAAATGGCTCTTAGCAATTTAGAAGAATTATTCTTATTAAAATCTTTTAACATTTTTAGAATAGTACATGGGGATGTGGGGACAAAGAGCTTAAGCTTTGAATGTGCCAAGGTCCTCCCTCCCTTTTTTTATTTTATTAGGCCCTCTCTTTTCAGGTTCAATGTTTTTTTATATTTTTCTTTTCTAGAAATAGTTTTGAGATTACAAAATGTGCTAGAAATAACAATATTGGTGTATAAAGGAAGAACAAAAATCTTGGAGAATTTATGGTATATATATTTTATATGGGGTAAATGTCCTGGAAATAAAATAACGAATAGGGCAGTCAGCTTCAGGCTTTGATTAATTTGTATTTCAATTGTGTTATCATCTACTGCTCCTGCATTGCATAATAACCTTCTCTGTGGTCAATCTTAAAAATTCGAATGCTAATATGATTCGGAGTTATTTGTCTTTTGTTTATCAATGGACTCAGTAAATTCTCAGTGCAATGTTTCATATTTTGAATTAATTGTAGACTGATCCAGACTAAATCCCCAGATCTTCGCGTTTTTTTGTTAACCCTCAACTGGTAAGATGCGTCTCTGAGATAGACCTAATTGCTAAATTCTCTGAATATCAACATAAAGCTACTACCATATCCTCTCCTTTGTTGTATTCTCAGCTTGTTTACCGGTAACGTCGTTCCACCTTGTTTCAGATAAATACATTTTTAAAAATAATTTTGAGAGTAATTTCAAAAGAAAGTAGTGTATAAGAGATGGATGTTACAAGGAGAATAGTGAATTCTATCAGTCCTGCAGACATCTATTACTACTAATGATCCCTAGTGTGAAATCTCTTATAAAAAATTAGGACATTCAAGATGTTAGATGTCCATTATTCGATGAAGATATGATCGATGAAGTAGTAAAATACATTTTATTCAATAAATACCATAAAACCCCTCAAATACAAGGACTGCATCTATCAGACGTATGTTACTCACAGTGCAATATTCTAGTATGTTATCAGTTGAGATTTAAGTTTACTTTCTTTTTGAATCTCTGGTTTGACTACAAGAACACTTTAATGTTCACCTTAAATTTTTAACAGAGTATCTAGGGTGTGCTGGTTACATTTAAAACGTTATGTAGATAACAACAAATACTGTATAATTGGATCACCATTGCAAGATACAACCTTATCAAAATACACTAATTAAACAAATTTTCTAGAACTTTGTCACCTAATTAGTTATTTCTAAACAGATAAAGTTAGTTCCTTATGTGCATTAGACAAAGAACTGTTGAAAGTACCAATAATCTCATTTAAGTGGAGAATGACAGTAACAACCTCCTTGTCTGATCAAGGTAGTGAATAATATTGTCATTTACTTTCCTTAATAAAAAGGAATTTCAATTGATTTCTATTTAATCTATTTAAAATATTTTTTATTTATTATAGTAATAGTTCATTAAGATTTATGATTTAAGTAATCTCTTTATTTATTATTGTTTTTGTTTTAGGTTGATTGGTTATCTAAGCAATGGGCACAACGTGCTGAACTTCCATCTCATGTTGTTAATCTTTTAAACAATTTACCATCGCAAAAGGTGCACCCTATGTCCCAACTTTCTGCTGCTATTACTGCCTGCAATACAGAAAGCAAATTTGCGGAAGCCTATAACAGGGGTATTAAGAAGTCCGAATATTGGGAAGTAAGTTTCTGTTAACTATTGATTTTTTATTATTTAGATCTGTGAATGTTTAAATATAACATATTATGTTACTAAATTATGTATAAGTTATTAAATTTTAAAAATCATGTTATTTACAAATAGTTTTTTTGTAGTTTCTGGTTAAAATGGAGTCATGATAATTCGGGTTGTATGGGACTTGTTCATCCTTCAATTATCATAAATAGAACTCAGAATATCAGAATAATATTAGGAAACCAAACGGATATTGGATTAAAAGTTTATTAACTTTTACCTTCCGTGTTTGTATACGTAATTTTAAAATTATGTACATACACGAATTTCCGGTCTTAAATTACATTGTATACTTTGCTATGCTGTTGCAAGGCCCTTTGTTTATATCTTATTACAAAATTGAGAGAAATTAACAATCCTGTATAAAATAATGTTTAGAATATTTTATGTATATGACAAAATCATGTATGGATAAATAACAATAAGAGCATAATATATAAGAATATTAATTGACAAGACCATATCTATTCTGATGATGGGGATAACTGAATGATGTACGTCTATAAAAAATATTAACTTGTAAGCATTTGATATGTATTATATATAAAGAAAGGTTAAGGATTATCTGAAACTCATATTATCTTAGCCCATAGTAGCGAAACTATTAATGGAGCTCAGGTTATCTAACTTGCTTTTTCAGATCTCAGATTACTAAAACTTGTATAACCAGAGCACAGAAACTCATAATAACAGAACTTAGATTACCGAAACTCCACTGTTTTTATTATTAATTGCTTAGAGTTTATGTTAATTTAACTATATCTCATAACTATATTAAGAGTTTAAAAAATAATTTGTTCAATATTTGAGCTAATAGTAACTGTCTTTTATCATTTTTACAGTACATATATGAAGACTCAATGGATCTTATTGCAAAGTTGCCTGTAATTGCAGCTATGATTTACAGAAACACGTACCAAGATGGTAAGGGAATTGGAGCCATTGATGCTTCTAAGGATTGGTCAGAAAATTTCACGCGCATGTGTGGATTTGATTCAGTGGAATTCACAGAATTGATGAGGCTATACCTCACCATTCACAGGTAAAAGAACAATATGCCATAAAAAACTATAATATTAAATTTAGAATATCACTGTATTGAATATCGACAGCCACACTGCAGAAGCCTGTAAGAACAAAAATTAAAAATTTTCAGGAAATGAAAAAACTGCATATTTTTGTTCTATGAGTGTTACATTTTCTGTTCAACTTTTTTGCAGGTCTAAGACATTTTCAACTTGCAAGTCTAAGACAAAGATGTAATGCTCTATTTAACTTTTTTGATCGTATTTCTGCCAAATAATCTTTTAGAGTCATTACTTCTAACTTATAGCTTTTTAGTTACTTTGAAAAACAGGTATTAGTTAGGGAAAAAGCAATCAGATTTATTATAGTAACATCGATAACTTTGTTAATAATGATCAAAGCACAAAAGAACTAAGTCAGTTTCCAAAATGGAGAAAACGATACTTCAAACGAAAATTTATAAAAATTTGCCTGGAAAGCAGCGAGTTTTTGATTACTTGGATTATTCTCTTTTTTGTCTTCCACTCTAAGAGTGGCTTGAATGGAGTGCATGCACCCTGTTTTTTAGTTGTCTATGAATGATTTTTTTTTTTACGTACTCAACTTCATATGGATATGGTTTGATTAAAAAATTATTGATAAGTTCTAGGTAATCTGCTGATGTGTAGATCACTTTGTTTATGAGTTTCTTGCGATTTCGAAGAATCATTGATTTGGAAAGATGAAACTAGAGTTCTTTTTTTCGTCTCGTGTTAAATGTTCCAATTCATGAAATCAATTATCTGTCTCACTATTTAGGTGTATATGTAATTGTAGGTGTGCATTGTAATTTTTTTCCAGTCTAGCTTATTTTGCAGTGTCAATGAAGTTCAGTTGTTTTGAAGGCCCATTAATATTGTATTCCCACATACCACTCTCTTCTTTCCTTTGTCTAGTTCCATGGTAAGCAGTGCCAGCATCAGAGCAGGGTACCCTGACATTTGCCTAGAGGCACTGGGCTGGAAGTTCCCACCATTCTTATGAAAAAAATTCGAACTGTTTGAGAAAAAATAATTTTAGCCTGTTAATAAAGCTATTTGATACAAAAATAATTTTAGCCTGTTAATAAAGCTAATTGATACTGTAGTCCATGCAAAACACTTTATACATTCTGTATTTACATGACCACTTTTCATTGAGCATTTCATTACGTTTTTTCGGTAAAGACACTATCTCTATTACTTTCACTGTAAATTACAATTACAATTTACATCCCAATTTGCTGGTTTTTAAATTACAGAGAAGAAATGAAACATCATAGATTTCTCCAGGACAAGATTGACCAGAAAAACTCATTTTCCATTGAAATTGTCCTTATAGGCTTTTGCAGCGTGGCTGTCGATATACTGTATTAAATTAAAGTATAGAAAATATTATGATACTTTTTAAGAAGCCAATTTCAATATGACTGATTTAGTGACCTTGAATTACTCAGGATATTTTTCACTTTTTCCTCTACTTTGGAATTTAAAAAAAAAAGAAATTAATAAAAGGGCAATGCTCTATAATTGAGCTTAAACTTTTTAGTTTTATGAAATATTCAGATGGTATTTTAGTATCCATTAGCTTTGAATAATTGACAGGGATATTTAGTTTAATTGAATTGAATTATAATAAAATCAGGATGTAGGAAGTGTATCTTATCCATTCAGCCTCTTAAATTGCAATGATTTCAAAATCTACAATCTTATGTCTGTTTCCAATGAATAGTTTCATGCAAACTATTTAGGATATCATTGGTAGTCCACTTTTATTACTGAAGCAAAAAAAAATACAATTTTATTATTTGAATTAGGTTACACTTATCTGTGGGTGAAACCCAAATGTTAGAGTCCCTCTCAGATGAGTTTTCTAGTGGGTAGAGGGGAAGAGAGATGGGCAAAACATTTCCCCCATCGATCTCCCACTCTTTTGTCTTCTCTACTCATTCTTACGTACTGCTACAATTTTTTTACAAGTTGGCATTTCTGTTATCATTTTTTTTTTTTCATTTCTTTTACCAATTTTCGTTTAATCATCAAGTAAACTTATTAGAGAAAAAAGTATCCAGTTCCAGAACAAAAAAGTAATTATGTATGTGAATAACTTCATGGAAACAGAGGTTGGCTAGTGTTCCAATCCACGTTTCCTCTCCTTATCTTTTTTTTTATTCATTTCTTAGTGGTTACATACTACTTTTTAAATAATGTATATAATGTTAGAATTTTTATAAGTTAGTTTTTGGCCAGATTTGTATTTTATTTTGTATTAATTCATCTTTGTTATTCTAAGGAGACTTAGTCCCAGAATAAAGTTCTATTTTCTATTCCATTCTATATTTATTATTTATTTATTTATTATTCCTTATATTTATATTTCCTCCCCATTATTTAATATCTGATAACATTGTATGGGATACTTTTCTGTTTTATCCATTCTATCTATTTCTTGATTTTTTTAACAATCTATTTCTTGATAAATTTAGATGAACAGATCGGAGCATACTAACATCGAGTTCTGTGAACAGCAGACATCGCAAATTTACCTTTTTTTTCTTAATTTGATTATTTAACCATCCTTGCCACTTTTTTTATTTTCTTTTTAATTAAAATCCCTACCTTTAATAAACATTTGTTTGAAATTTGAAGAAAACGGAATAGCGCGTTCCCGGTATGAGATGATTAGGGATTTTGGGGAGGTGGAACTTGAGTAGGGGAAGGCTGCACGAGCTCTCTTTCCCTACAGGCAAATTCATCCTAAATGCATTATACCATAGGTTCTATAGGAATCAAAGTAAATCATTTTAGTTTGAGTTTTAATTATACACTTTGTTTAATCTTCTTAAAAACAAATTCCAATTCTAGTAAGTTGAATGTTTGATCATAAATTCTAAGAAATTTAAATTTAAGTTTTTCTTCTAAGTAAGTTACAAACCTAATTACTTAAATAATCAAATGATAAGGTTTTAATATTTTAAACACCTCAATTTCATGGACTAAAAAATAAATTAAAATCTTATTCATCGTAATTTTATTATGAATATGAATACAATTTATAAATTTTCAATGAAATAAGTTAATAAATTTTAAACGAAAATTCCCAGTTTGATTTTAGCAATATTCAGATTGTTTTTGATGATATAAATTGAATTTTTTTAGTATTTGACTATTTAACAATAAATCAGACACAAAAGTTCTAAAAATAAATAATTTATTGAATGACAATGATTTAACTCATTTCTTTAGAAACTTTTTTTTACTAATATGTAAGTACCATAAATAAATGAATTTAACTAATTTTTTAGCTAAACCAGCAAAAAACAAATAAAAGCTCTTCTCATGCTAAAAATTTTACTGCTAATGAAACATGATTTAAAATTGTTAAACCAGGTGCCATTGTCGGAATCATTTAATTAAAGTTCCTAGCTTATGAAAGAATAAGAAGAAGTTTATGATGTGTTCATTTGAGTATATTCTTTTAATATTATTAATACTCTATATTAAATAATTTCAGTGATCATGAAGGTGGTAATGTTTCTGCTCATACAGTTCATCTCGTCGGCTCAGCTCTCTCAGATCCATACCTTTCATTTGCTGCTGGCTTAAATGGTCTAGCTGGTCCTCTACATGGTCTTGCTAATCAAGAGGTAAGCAATGGTCAGTTAATATTTATAGCAGTGGAAAATAGCATTGTTATATATTATGGTCTCACAATGGCTTCAATGCCAGGAAGATATGCTCTGTTTTAAAAGAGAAGGGACAAGAGACCTATATAACTACATCAATTACATCAAGAAAAGGGTATCTGTCATTTGTTTTCAGAAATCAGGGACTTTTGACTCTGGCGTAATTTCCCAGCTTCTTACCAGGACTGGGAAAAACACCAGATAGCCTAAAAGATGAGAAAGCGAGAACAAAAAATTATTAGAATCTAAGTTTTGTATTTAAAAATTAATTTTATTATTAATAACAGAATAATTTTATTATTAATAACTGAGTTAATAAAAATACGTTGCGGACGTTGGTACTGTGATAGGGTCGGTGGAAGGAGGTTGGTGATTTCTGGTCAGGTTTAAGCTTTTGTGTTCAAAGCTATGATAATGTTACAAATGCCGCTTCTAAAATAACTAATTCAAACACAATATATGGATTAGTGATCCATATATTTATGTTTGAATTAGTTATTTTAAAAGCGGCATTTGTAACATGTATTATAGCTTTGAGAAAAACACAAAAAAACTATATGATGTCAAAATGTTAAAAGATAAAAATATATAGTTAACAATAAATCTTTGAATTATATGCCATTTTTTAGCTGTAAAATTATCATTAATGTTCAGAAAAAAATTTTTAGACTTGTGTTGTTTCTTCAGTGAACCATATTCTGTCCCTTTTCTAATTTTTTCTTCAATTATGAGTACTTGGGTGATAATTTCAAAAATCAAGGATTTAAAAAACAATATATAATAATAATAAAATCAGTACACAAAAAACTGAAGATGGCTGTAGTTTTTTTTTTTTTTAGTTTTAGATTCTGTGTATCTTAAAACTTCACAATTTGATAGGATTAACAATTTTTATCTTGCTCGATTTCTTGTTCAAAATGTTTTGAATCGATTTTTCCAAATGAATGAATTATAGAACATGGTGTATCCATGTTAAATTTATTCCAAACCACACCTAATTTAAAACTCTTAAAAATGGCTCAGTGTGTTGTTTCTGAAATAAATGATTCATTTATGTTATTTTTTCAATGCATTTTATTTTTATTTTATATTTATAATAATATTCTATTATTTCCAGGTCTTAATCTTTTTAACAAAAATGTTGAAAGAGCTAGGAGAAAATGCTCCCGATGAAAAGGTAAAAGAATATTGTCTGAAAACTTTAAAATCTGGACAAGTCATTCCAGGTTACGGACATGCTGTCTTAAGAAAGACTGATCCAAGGTATACTTGTCAGCGTGAATTTGCTCAAAAAAATCTACCAAATGACCCCATGTTTAAGGTGAGCACTAAAATTATATAAATTACTCAAATTATTTATATTTATTTTAACATAATTTTAGGGAGTGGTGAAGGCCCCGAACTCTTACCTTCTGGGTCAGAGTTTATGTCCGACTTAATTGTTTATTTCCTTGCGAAGTACTGAAGTACTGTACTTATAAGCCGTTATTGTTGTTTTAGATTTTATTTATTTATTACATATTTATTTTTAAAAATTTAATTATTTAAAGGCTGTTGTTTTGCATTTACATATTCCATTTACATATATCCTTATTCCGTGATAAAATAATAGCTAATTTTTGAAAACTTACATTTGAAACAAATATAGTATTTTTCTTAACAAATTACATGTTGAATACTAATTTATTACAATAAGGTAGTAACGTAATAATATTTATGTGTAGTGGAAGATTCTCCTCTCCCTTTTCTTTACTATATTAAATTCATTTGTCTTCCAGGGTTGTGTAGTTCAATGTAATTTTTATAATTGTGGTGGGATGACAGATGTGACCTGATAAGGATTTTAATACACACAAAGAAGTTACATATAAATTTTAGCAAATTAAAAAAAATCAAATTAGATTGATTTATTTAAATGGCTTTCAGAGATCATAATATTATTTGATTATTGCTTCTGAATTAAAATACTTATTAAGATGTAGGTTACAATAAAAAAAAAAAAAACATTAAAAGAATAATATATTTTAACAGAATATGGAATTATATACTATTTATAAATATTTATGTAGAGTATAATACATTTTCAATAGCCACAAAAGTATGATAATTAACTGCTAGTATTTAATTAGCTTATTAAAAAATTAAAATGTCTTGCTTGAAGTTGGGTTTTAAAAGTTGGAAGACGAGCTCCTCATTCTATGATATAAACCATTTCTAATTTTAAAAACAACACACATTTATAAAACAAAAATTCTGTTATAATTCTAATTAATTCTTAATTTAATATCTTCTAGTTAAAATGTAATTGAATATCTAAATAATAAATTTTAAAGTTTATTTGTTTTTTTATATTTTCAGCTTGTTGCTCAAGTTTATAAAATAGTACCTCCAATTCTCATGGAAACTGGTAAGGTGAAAAACCCATGGCCCAATGTAGATGCTCACTCAGGTGTTTTGCTACAGGTATTAATTATTTGTATGTTCTCTAGCGATAATTAATTTATAGTTAGTCTACTTCAGTTAATGTTTATGATTTGGTTGCATATTTTACATTAGATTATTATTTACTTATTTCTATTATTCTTGTGTTCTATTGCTTTTATTTATGCTGCTGGAAAGCATATATTTATTATATTAAATACCTTTAAAAAAACATATTGATGGGGGAATATAAATTCAGTAACATATCTCATAAATTTTGTTAGTTTAAAACTAGGAAGTAAAATACATGGATTTTGACTGTTTTAAGATGAGCATAATTATGTTCAACAATTATAAATTGATATAGCTATGTTTTGTTATTCTTTATTTATTATTATTATCTATTATTGCATAACTATTAAACAACAATGCTTTAATCGAGTCTTGGTGATTTTTGTTCTAAAAAAGGAAAGACAGTTTGTTTTGATTATCATTTACTTTGCTTGGAAAAAGATTTGATGTTTCGGTATTTAAAAAAAAAAAAAAAAGAGAGAACAAATATCTAATGTTCATCTTGGCTTTACTTTCTTTTTTATGCTGGTTTCATTAATCTGCTGGAATGTGCATTTATTTGTTAATGCCACCCTACTAATGCCTACCATCTCATTCATACTTTCCTTTTCTGTATTACCTATTACCTTAACCTTGTTTGACTATTGTGGAAGCTTTTTTCGACCTCTGATGACAATGATAATATTTGTTATTTTCAGCTGAACAATTTTGGAGCTTACTTTCAAAAGCACACATTTTCATAAAATTACAAAAACAACAAAAAAATATTTGTAACTTGTTTAATTTTAGTTTGATAAACTAAATTGAACCCTCCAATAATTTTCTATCAAAACATCACGATTCCTTTTCTCTTGAGGACTTAACACTCCAGTAGTCATATGTCATCTGAGAGATTCCAAAGAAACATTTGTGAGTGTGCCTGACCAATGCCTGTTCAAATCTACAAACCTCTCCCCCTGCTATCCTTTTAGCCTAGTGACAGGATGGTTGCATTTTGTTTCTTGCCAAGTTTTATTGAGTTATTAGCTGAATCATCTCTAAGATCTTACCCGTCTACTATTGGAAGCATTCAGTAAATTTTTTAAAGTGATAATTAGCTTTATTTTGCTCTTTTGAGATACTTGTTAGGAATTACGTTTTCCAGAATTATATTACCTCCTTTATTTTTTCTATAAAATATTTCTATTGACCTCTCCGTTCAATATTTTTCATTAAAAATTTTCCCCTTATTGTTTTATTTATTCGTATTTTTTCTCACATTTTTTAAAAACAGTTTAATCAATAAAGGAATATTTTAATCAATTCTATTATTTTTAATTTTAGTTTAATTTAAAAAAAAAAATTATACTTCGAATTTTTCATTTAAGATTTTTGATTTCTTTATAAAAAAAAATGTTTAAAGGTTGATGAACAATCTGTTGCATTTTTTTCTTTAAATGATTTTTGTATTTTGTTTATTAGTGTTACTTGAGAAAATTTTAAGCAGAATTGGACTGTAATTACTGTAAGCCTCATATTCAATGACAAATTAACTTTAAATGAATGTTTTTTTAGAAGAAACCCGTTTCATCATTTATATTAATTATGTTTGATTTTTTATTGGAATTTGCTTATTATTGCTCCTTGTTTCTTGGTTTGTTCTATAGGTTGTTTTCTATTACTTTTTATTTTTATTATTTTTTTAATACTAACCAAATGAATGGAAATATAAGTGTAATTAAACATATTGATTTTTTTTTTTTCTTTCAGTATTATGGAATGAAGGAAATGAATTACTACACAGTCTTATTTGGAGTCTCCCGTGCTCTTGGTGTCTTGGCTTCACTCATTTGGGATAGGGCATATGGATTACCAATTGAGAGGCCAAAATCAATGTCTACAGATGATCTCATGAAAGCGGTTGGATATACTGCTTAGACCATGTCTTGTACCTTAATTTATTTATGAAAGAAAAAAATAATTAAATTAAATGGTTCAATAATGAACCACCTGTATAGAATACCATTCGCTATTTGTATAGTGTGTAAATTTCACCATAGTTATTTATTATTTCATCATCGACTTACTAGTTTCCTATTCATTTTCAACCTGTTAATAGTTTTTTGGCATTAAAGAAATACAGTTTTATACTGTTATTTCCGGAAGTCCATGAGTACTCAGAGCATTGGCTTTCTTGGTTTGTACTGCGCTATAGAACTTCCAATTGAAAGTTTTAGGTCAATGACTGCTGAGTATCTCATTATCATGTTTAGCTAATGCATTGTTTTATATAGCTTTAACTCAAAAGAATACAATTCTTTTTTTTTGTACAAAGATATAAATAAAATAAAAAAATGATCATAAAAGATGGCTGTAGTACAGTAATAAAGTGGAAGAAGAACATATTTATTTAAATAAATAAATATGATTAGTATGAAATGGTTTCTTTATTAATCCTCTTTCTTCTTTTTAATAAATACCATTTTGTAGGAAAATAATCATTGTCTAATTGATTTCAGTGTGAAAAACTCTCCTAAGTTTTAAATTCTTGGTTGAAGTTCAGTTCTGTTCTGCTAAAACGTTATCTAAGTTTGATCGCTTGTTGGCAGCTAAGATTGATGGTCGAAGAAATATCTTAAAAACTTCAGGTCTGTGTGTGGAAGAGAAATTGTGTTGTCATATAAATAAAACCCATTTTACTGATATTTTTTGCTATTTAATAATTATAAAACGTTTTTCGGTTATTACATTATTTCATTTAGAACTAGAAATTAAAAAAAATGAACTTAGGCTTAAAGTCACATTTGTAATAAATCAGTTTGAATTTACCTGGCATCAATTGTTATAGAGAATTGTCTCGTGAACCATGATTGTTTTAAGAATGGTCTCCATACCGTCTTGTCAAACATAATGTCTGAAAGATTTTTTTGGCTATCTTAAAATCAATGAGAGAAGCAGGAAATCAAATATTTATAAATTTTTATTCTTATAAACTTTTTATTTTTAGTATTAACATATTTTATAAATATAATTGAAATATAATTTTAATAGTTTATTAAATAATTATTGGGAGTTTGATTAAGTTCAGAAAAAATAGATTGGGAGATGACATGGGTGTCTACTAATTTTTACAGAACTATGAACCAAATTTAAGTATTGGGCCAAATTTAAGTATTATTTAAAATCGTATTATTTAAAATATGGAAAGAGTATATTAAAAATAAATTACAACATACTCGCTTCTAAAGTACCTAGTTTCTCTTTCGAACTGCTTCCTATAAAAAAATTATTAATTTTTTATTTTATTTATTTATTTTAATTTTTTGTAAGAAAAGCAATATTTTATATTTTAATATTGCAATAAGCAATATTTTATGTAGAGATATTTGAATGAATTACCTAGTTTAGTATGATACATATGCAGACTCAGTAAGTTTATCAATAAAAAATAAATTTCTCTTATTATATCAAGTAATAAATAAAAATTCGGATAAAATATAAATTATAATTTAAAATAATAAACTTGTTGAAAAAAAAAAAAATAATTATTTCTCAGATTAATTGCAATCTTTGTTTTATCAGTTCAACAATTTTTTTTCTTGAGCATTTCGCTGTAATAAAAAATTAATATATTTCTTCTGATTAATTTATGAATTTTCTCCATGTTTTGTGGAAAATTCTTTGGAATCACATAAATAAAAATACATTTCTTTTTCTCAACAATATATCTATCAATAATATACTCTTTCATCCTTTCAATGAAAAAATCCAAGAATCTTTCATAATTTCAACATATCACTCAGTTTTATTGCTAAAGATAATTGTATTAAAATTTTGGCGTCATTGATCTTCAACAAATTTAAAGATCAATTTTCATGAACGAGTTTAATATGAACGATTAGCCTTACTAAATAATTTAAAAGTGCCTTCTCAATTTGATAATGTATTTGAAATACACAAGCTTGACAAATAAGCAGATGTGCTGTAACTAATAAGAAAATTGACAAATGCCTAAAATTAGACATGAGGAAAAAATAGTACTCAGCTGCACTTCTTTCTGCTCTTGGTTTACTTCCTTAATTCAGGAAAGGAGATATCTCATCCAGCTCCTCATTAGTCGTCTCCTGATGGGCATGTCAGCTGTGCCCATGTTAATAAGTTCGTTGTGATGTCCGTGTCGTTTTAAGATGAAATCTGGAGCAGAGATCATGTTTGTGTTGGTCGATAGTTGGTTGTCATAAGTCGTTATGTAAAGTTTTTTTGTTTACATACCAAGGAGCTCCTGTTATAAGTCGTAAAATTTTGGATTGAAATGTCTGTCGTTTTAATAAGTGCATCTTTTTTGCAGAACCATAAATTTGTAAGGCTTATGTCCATATGGGTTTGAGTAGGTAAGTGTATGTATTAAGTTTTTGTCTAATTTCCAATTTCGATTTGGAAAAAAGTGTTACAGTATTTTCAGTCGCTTGTTCAAAGTCTTGTTCACATTTTGACATGTGGGCCTCAGGTCATCCTTCTGTCAAATATTAACCCGAGGTAACGTACAGTGTCTGTCTGGAGAATTCGGTTGTCGCAGATATAAACTGGTGGGCATTTGTCTTTTCGAAGTGTAAATGTTATGATTACTCATGATTCAATCTAATTTTCCAAAGTGAATACCAATTTTGTAAATTTAGTAAGCGATTTTGTAAATTCAATGAGGTTAATCTGGGGTCGTGGTTTTTTGTTAAAATTGTATCGTCAGTTTAAGCAGCAGTCAATATTACGGAGGTGTTAGGCATGTCATGGGTATAGATAATGTAGAGTAAAGGAGCCAATATTGATCCCTGATGTACTCCTGCTGACACTGGTCGAATTGAGGAAATTTCTAAGCTCTGTCAGACACAGAAATTTTTCGAAAAGGAAAGACTGAAGAATGAATAGTGTGTATGAGCTAATATAGTTTTGAGTTTAAAGAGAAGTCTCTGGTGCCTGACTTTATCGAATGCCTGAGCAACATCCAGAAACATGTTGCTTTTGTTCTTGTGCTCCAGCAATATAATCAGTGTAATTGGTGTGTAGTTGAATGAAATGTACGAAAGCCGAATTGATGGTCAGGAATTATGATTAGGTCTGTTAGTATGTCAACCAATATTTTTTTTTATATTAATTTTCCAATAATACTTTAGAACATATTGGAAGGAGACTGGTGGGTCGGTAGGATGTAGGATTGAAAATTTCTTTTTCTCTTTTATGTATCATTTTTATATGTGACTATTTCCATTGTAGTGGGAATTTAGTTGTCCTTAGCATATAGTTGTTTATTGTTGTGCTAGTGCTTTCCTGGACATTTACTGGAGCACCTCGGCAGTAATGTTATAATCTGGGGCTTTTCTTTTAGGTAATTGTTTGATTTGTTGTGCAACTTCAGGAGGAGTGAACGAAAGCGGGGCCACCGTCAACAGAAGTGGGATATCTAGAGTATTTAGTGCTATGGTTTCATGTTCTGTGTTTGTAAAGTCAGTAAATGGTTTAAATACAGATAGATGGTCAGTAAATAATTCAGATTTTCGCTATCTGTTAAAGCCCATGAATCATCCTCTTTTCTCTCACATTATTATGTCTCTCACAGAGATATTGGCACATCTCTATGTTTTAACAAATTCTGGTATGCTTCCACAAACTTTCATCGTCAATTGATATGATGTTCAAGAAAGCATAATTTTTGGACACTTTTGTTAAATTTATCCACTGCCTCATCTAGTTCTTCTTCAGTTTTAATTGACCCAGGGATTGAAAGTTCTGAATCCAGAAATGCTCTATAAGCTTCCCAATCCATCTTTCCTTTGATGAGCTTTGGGTTTCATGGAAGATTGATGAGCTCATCTAGGGTAACCAAGTTTATAAGGGAATGGTCTGAGTAAAGATCAGAGCTTGTATTTATGGTGTGGGGTATGGTCCCTATGGATTTTTATAATCCTTTGGTTATAAAAAAATCTAGTAGGTCTGGAGTTTTATGTCGCGAAGCTGGCCAATAAGTCAGTGAATCAGGTGATATAGTGTCTAATGAAAGTTTATGGAAAGCAGCCCTTATATTTCTGCCTTTTGGTATACATAGTCGTGACCCCCTAAAATTGGTGCTTTGCGTTGATGTCGTCTTCATTAGTATAGCTGTACCACCATGAGCTGTGTTGTCTGGATGGTCTGTTCTGTGCGTAACATATCCTGAAATATGAAATTTAGTTTGTGGTGTAAAGTGTGTTTCTGTTATCAATGCGATGTCTTTCCGTTTTTTGTGTAAATATAAGTCCGATTCTGTTCTATGTTGCATTAGTCCATTTAAATTCCACAGAAGGATGGAAAAGGATTCTACAGTCAGATGATTAATGGTCATTTGGAAGATATATGCCTTGAGTCACCTGCGTGAGCTGTTGGAGAAGGCTAAATAGGGGCTGGAGTGTTGAGACCATTTAATAACTGAAACAGTTGTGGTGTGATATATGCTTCAGCTGAAGTGTGCTGGGTACTTTCTCCCCTCATGGCCGCTGAAGGTTGAGTGTTTTTTGTTATTGATTCAAGCTGTTTCTGGGCATGTGGTTGCGGCTGTGCAGAATGATTAGGGTGAGCTGACTTTTTCTGTTGTGCAGAGAGATGCCGCTGAGATCGCTTCTGCTTCTGCACTTGATTCTGATTCTGCACAACCCTAGAAGGTTGTGGAAGATTTGGAAAATATAGAAGATTCACTGAAGGTGGTGATGCTCTCTGGTGAACTTGATTTCTCGTAGTTCTTTGTGCTCCCCAATCATTAAGAGTTTGACACCCACAATAGTTAGCCGGATGTTCGCCCTGGCAATTAGCGCATTTCGCTGGGATCTCCCTTGATTTATTTAAAGTGGAGCTTTCGTGGCCTTGTCCACATGTGACACACCGTGGTGAATGATTGCGACCTGATGCATTATGGGACAATTTTCTTCTTTCCAAGTTCTTCTATTTTAACTTTTGTGTAAAATATTTTTTAATTTAAAAGATGTTTTCATTAAATGAGGTCTTGTATAACAACAAAGAACATTGACAATGGCAGTTTGAATCGGGATATTGCGTTAGTAATACCTGCAACCTGGTATCCGTAATTTTTTGGTTCTCTTTTGATCTCTTCTAAAGGAGTATTATGATGTAAATCTTTAATTACAACTGGAGGATTCCAATCTTCAGTGAATTGATACGTATGGAATTCTGCTCCGCTGTTTCTCTGGCAACTAACAAGTTTTCGGTAGTCGTTTGGGGATTCAGGGTAAACAATCACTCCCTTAAATATTGATCTTAATGAAAAACTGTTGGTGCCCGTATTTGCTTGCAGATATAAGAATAATACAGCATAGTTTTCTATTCCTGTGATAAAGATTGGAGGTGGATTAGAGGTGGCGTTAGATGGTACATTATCAGATGGGATTTGGCATTGATCGTTAGTATCAGCAAGGACTTGAAAGCTATTACTAATAGTTACCTCTGATTCAGTCCTTTTTTGTGTTCTTGGGTCCCTGTCTTCAACTATAATTCTTTTCTGGCCCGTTACGAGTTTCCTGGTACCTCTTTCACTGTCTGTGCATTGAAAGTTGTCATTGCAGTCCATAAAACCAACCACAGGTTTTGTTGATAGGGCTGCATTCATAGTAGCGGATAATTCCGCTTCACTCATTGAAGCTACTCCAAACCTATCCGTTAAAGTTTGGATTCGTTTAGCTATTTTCAAAATAATAACTTCTAA